TTTAATCACGGCCAGTCGCAGGGAATGCACTGGAACTGCTATAGAATTGGTCAGTTAATCTTTAAGAATTATTCTCCCATGAGTAAGGGCATGGCCAGTGTCCATAATAGATCGTAGTGCACAGTAATGGGTTCTACATTTCTTACCGTGCTTCGCTTGGGGTTCTTATTGATTGTACAGATGATACCGAATAGCAAACTTTTCTTTGAGATGGTCCCCAGTGCTTTAAGTATCCTGATGTGTTATTTTACGAAAATGTTCAGATAAATAATCTCCCAAACTGCAAAGTCATTACAAATATTGAAGGATTTATTCCTTTCCGTGCAAAACGTTGACAAGTATTCAGCGCTTCTTGCTATTAACGACCTTCAGGTGGTGCAAGGGTAGGACGAAGGTCATAGGCAGAAACCATTTGAACGAAAACACTTTTTCACTTTGATGTCGTGAGATTGTTTGATAATTTTCTTCAAACTGTTGACTGCCCTAATAAGAACATTTTGTGCCACGAAAATTCATTTCTGTTTTAACTTTGAATCTATACATTTCTATTTTAACTTCGAATATATATCTTCTCTGGTATTGTAAGAGTAAACTATGCCTTTCCAAGAACACCTTCTAGAATATCATAAATTTGTGTACGTTTTGACATTAAACAATTAGATAATATTTTGTTTATATGTTCTTCAATGGTGTTTTTTGTTCATGGTCCATGAGTGAGTGAGTGAGTTATTGAGTGAGTACGTGAGTGAGTGAGTGAGTGAGTATGGCTTTACGCCGCTTTTAGCAATATTCCAGCAATGTCACGGCGGGAGACACCTGAAATGAGCTTGAGACGGCGTACTAATGTTGGAATCGATCCCGTATCCTCGGCGTGACGGGCGAACGCTTTCCCTACTAGGCTACCCCACCGGGCCTTCAGGTTCCCTTGTAAACTGCCGAGCAAAGGAAAGTTTTGATGGCGGCTAAAAATAAGACCAACAAGAACTGGTATTGGGATAGTTATGTACTTGATGCGGGTGTCAGGGTTGTGTTTTGGACCTAAAGTTTGCCGTGTTTGATAACGTTAGTAATAGTTTGGTCAAATTCATTTTTCGATGGATACTTTCCTTTGCCCGGTAGTGTATGTCATGCTTGTCATGCAAGTTCGATGAATTGCTGTTCTCAATGGCCTGGCTGACTGTGTATCTACGTGAGCCGATGGCGAGAATCGTTGTTTCAGCATTCAGTCACTGGTTATTCTGGTTCAGACTATGATATCTCCCTCACTCACTCTCGAGGCGGTGTGGTACCCCGTGTTAAAGCGTTCTCTCGTCAAGCCGAAGATCCGGGTTCGATTTCCCACATGGGTACAATGTGTGAAGCCCATTTCTGGTGACCCCCGCTGTGATATTGCTGGAATATTGCTAAAAGCGGCGTAAAACCATACTCACTCCCTCTCTCACGCTGACAACTTGGTAAAACGTCGAAGTGTCTGTAGCGCAGGCGCAAGTGCCCTTCTCTCCCTTACATCAATGCAAAGTTATTTGAAAAATTCTAATCACGTTCCGAGTTGAATTTCAAGATTAGTTAGTATTTGAAAATTAATAGTTCGCTTTGGGCATTTTGAAGAAACAATTTCAACAACCGTTTGAAATAGACGTCGACATTAAACGTTTCATGTTTATTAAATGTGAGATATAGGATTAATAGCTCACAGCAAACTCAGTGTCTATGTGTCAAGCATTCTGAGTCGTATCACGCGTGTTTCAGATCCGTGCAAGATGCCTCCACAACATCCCTCAAGCCCAATTACTCCAATGTCGGCAGAGATACAAATATTTCATTTTGGAACCAACAAAACAGCCTGAGGCTTGCCTGGGACACGCATTGCTAACATGCAAGAAATGAAAATAAGAATCCACTAAAACATAACTGGCTTCGAGCAAATATGATATTTTCAATATTGGTGCAAAAACTGCACAACATTGTGTAGGGCTTTTGCACAGTCGAAGAGAAGAGTTTCGACTGTTGAAGACGAGAAGGAAGTGGTGTCTAAACACTAGAAAAACGTTATTGGAATTTATCGGGTTTACTCTACATGAAAAACGTGGGGACTGATTGGCCATTGGATTGATGTCGCCACAGATGAGGGCGTAGAGGAGACGTCCGTGTGGACGTAGAGGAGTGAAATCCTAACTGTGGTGATCACGTCTCTCGTCTTTCATGTGGTGGTTGTGGATACCCCGAGGGCGGGCGTGGTTGAGTGAGTGAGTGAGTGAGTGAGTTAGTGATTGAATGGTTGAGTGGTTGAGAGAGTGGTTGGGCGACTAAGCGTATGGTTAAGTGAGTGAGTGAGTGAGTGGGGTTATGTTTGAGTGAGTGAGTGAGTGAGATAATGTGACGAAGATCATAGTGATTTTGTTTGTTTGCTTGTTATTTAACGCCGCTCTCAGCAATATTTCAGCTACATGAGGGCGGTAGGGGACCCATGTGTATTGGTATGGTGACCCGTGAAGAATAAAAATTAAAATTGATCTTCAGCAACCCATGATTGCCGTAAGACGCTACTATCCATGTCGTAAGAGGTGACTAACGGGATCGGGAGGTCATGCACGCTGACTTGTGTGATGCATGTATGGTATCCAAGTTGCGTAGACCATTGTTCATAATGTCAATCACTGGATTGTCTGGTCCAGACTCTAATATTTTCAGACCGCTGTCTTATAGCTGGATTATTGCTGAGTGTGGCGTTATACCAATAACTAACCAACCAACAAAAACTGGTATGGTACTACAAGACCGATACTCATTAAGGACCGAATCTGGGAATAAATAAACGTTCCGATTAAGGGACGCGACTCTTCAGAGCGACTTTTACTGTGAAAATGAACGTATCGCAGGCGAAGCAAGAGGAGAATCGCACAAAACTTAAGATATTAGAGTAATCACACTGGTGAAGAAACGATTCACAAATTGATACATGGTCGGTTAATGTTCGCACAAAATATAGGATGAAGTCACGACACAATCGTGTACTAGCTTTACCAAGACTTGTGGTGCTTTATCACCACATCCGTGGTCAAGTGGATAGACATGGTCGGGTTAAACCAAAAGATAGTAATGTGGTTAAATGAGGTATTCATGTGCAACTGCTGCATGGTATCTCAGTGGGCTAATACTATAAGTCCAAACTAGTACAAGCATCCACACGCATGCACGCGCGCACACACACATACACGTGCACGTCGCTATAAAAATGCAATATCTTGAGTTCAACATTAAACTTCATTTCACACTCACACATACACACTCACAGACTCACACACACAACATCCACAACTCACACACAGACAAACACACTCACACACACAACCCCACAACACACACAACTCACGCACAACACACACACTCAGACTCTCACACACAACCCCACAACATACACAACTCACTCATACACACTCACGCACAACACACACACTCTCAGACTCACACACACAACATCCACAACTCACACACAGACAAACACACTCACACACACAACCTCACAACACGCACAACTCACAGACTCACACACACACCACACAAACACTCACACACGCAACCCCACAACACACACAACTCACGCACAACACACACACTCACAGACTCACACACACACAACATCCACAACTCACACACAGACAAACACACTCACACACACAACCCCACAACACACACAACTCACGCACAACTCACAGACTCACACACACACCACACAAACACTCACACACGCAACCCCACAACACACACAACTCACACACTCACAGACTCACACACAACCCCATAACATACACAACTCACTCATACACACGCACGCACAACACACACTCTCTCTCTCACACACACGCACGCACACACACTCACACACAAACACACACAATAAGTATCCACGTAAGTACAATAATCTTGACATCGACGTTGAACCCCATGCCACCTCTCCCACCTCCTCCGTCTGACATACGTAGTCACAATTATTTACAGCTAGTCTGTGGTTCCAAGGAATTAGAGATAGAATCCCTGCAACTCTTTGTGAATGTCATCCATTAATGACATAGATTCATTTTCGCGAGACGGCTCAATGTAACTTAATACCTTGAAGAAACGTCAAGATGCCGTCTCAAAAGACAGACAAGCGACCGGGTTGAGGGAGGTAAGGTAAGGTGAGGTGAAATGGAGTTTAAGGTCGATTTCGAGAGAGTGTTTGAGAGAGGCTTCAGTCAGCGCTTCAAAACATACAATTTGGTTCTCTGATAAGAGAACACAAACAGTTAAGGGTGGGGTGTGGGGGTGTTTGGACCCACGACACATTTACAGAATAACCTGATGTATTAATATTGTTTTGTTAAACGTGAGGACAGATTATTGCTTCCAGGATATTCAAAAACAGATAATACTTTCTCAACCACGCCCCTGCCTCCATCTGTCTGTCTAATACAGGTCTAGTTACTGTCTACTATTGGTCTTGTTACTGTCTAGTATTGGTCTTGTTACTGCCTAGTATTGGTCTTGTTACTGTCTGCTTTTGGTCTTGTTACTGTCTAGTATTGGTCTTGTTACTGTCTTGTATTGGTCTTGTTACTGTCTTGTATTGGTCTTGTTACTGTCTGCTATTGGTCGTGTTACTGTCTTGTATTGGTCTTGTTACTGTCTTGTATTGGTCTTGTTACTGTCTTGTATTGGTCTTGTTACTGTCTGCTATTGGTCTTGTTACTGTCTTGTATTGGTCTTGTTACTGTCTTGTATTGGTCTTGTTACTGTCTAGTATTGGCCTTGTTACTGTCTAGTATTGGCCTTGTTACTGTCTAGGACTCTGATGTACCTTAAATACATATTTGTGATGTTATAAGAATTAAGCCTTCTTCAGTGTCATGGTAGAATAAGCCACAAATACCGGCATTATAAGCGGACCACAGTCAGATAGTGAAAACGGGGCGCTGCCTCATAGTGAAAGCAGAGCACTGCCTTGTAGTGAAATCAGAACAATGCCTGGTAGTGAAGCCGGAGCATTGCCTTATAGTGAAATCAGAGCACTGCCTAGTAGTGAAATCAGAGCACAGCCTGGTAGTGAAAGCAGAGCACTGCCTAGTAGTGACAGCAGAGCAGGGCCTGGTAGTGAAAGCAGAGCACTGCCTGGTAGTGAAAACAGGCCTTTGCCTGGTAGTGAGAGCAGAGCACTGCCTGGTAGTGAAAGCAGAGCACTGCCTGGTAGTGAAAACAGAGCACTGCCTGGTAGTGAAAGCAGCCCACTGCCTGGTAGTGAAAACAGAGCACTGCCTGGTAGTGAAAGCAGCCCACTGCCTGGTAGTGAAAGCAACCCACTGCCTGGTAGTGAAAGCAGAGCACTGCCTGGTAGTGAAAGCAGGCCACTGCCTGGTAGTGACAGTAGTACAGTAGTACCAGGCAGTGCCCTAACTAAGGAGACACCACGTGTGGTACATGTGCTTCAGTGTGGGGCAGGAGCAAGCTCAACGTGGTCACCCAGCCAACTACTCTCAGAGACCGACGTTGCTTAACTTCACCTGATTAGTGATCAGTGCACAGGACCACGTGCCACCACACGCATGTTTTTCTCTTTACTTATAAATAGTAGACTTAATTGGAAATTTAATCATTTTTAGTTTCCACAAAATCAGTAAATGGGCCATCGTGTGATTGAATTACGGCCCTTCACTTGGTTGTCTGGTTTGTTCACAAACCGTCGTCGCTGGGCAGGAGTACTGCTTTGCGGCGTATGATAACAAACACATTTTATGCAAATTGTGTGAGGTTGGATGCTACCGAAAGAGCAGGACATATTTTGCCCTTTTCGCCAACTGGTGTCATCAGTAATTTTCAGTGATCCATTCATATAATGTTCACCCCTGTTTTGTCTTTTACGGCCAAAGCAGGCTGTTTCAGTGGATATCTCAGAAAATATATTTCTTAACTTGTTACACCACTATCCAACATAAAAAAAAATATATAAAAACTCATCCCTTGGTCCCCATGGGCATTTATCATTAAACGTGGTGACCGTAGATACAGATACACGTCTGTCTTCAAAGGTATAAATATGCATCACACATTGTACTATATGATTGAAAGGAACCAGTGCCCTCTGCGTAAGGTTGAGAAGGCTTGTCACATATGGAACAAGAACGGAACAATGTTCTTGGCAGAATTCCTCGACAAGAAACGGTAACTACCTTACCATTAGAGTTGTGGCAAAAGGTCGGTCGATGGTTCTGAAGCTTAAGGTCAGATTTTATAGAGACACACTGGACGTCACATGTGTAAATGTTTAATGACAAGATAACTATCTGTTTGGCACCATCTGTCTGTGACAGCGGAGACGGCCTCGGCGGAGACATCGCCGGCGCTACAAGTCCCAACGGACATTTACTGCTATTTTACTATTTTAACTGAATAGAGACTTGAAAGAATGCGCCGGTTTGGAATTGGTTTTAAAGCATTATCAACAAACACAACGCCAGTGTTAAGTAACGTTTAGTTTTTAAATACAGTAGACCTTGTTGTTACTACAAGCGAGATGACGTCTCACCTGCTGGACGTTAGCCAAGGGATACTCACGCATTCCAATCTGTAATACTATTGTCTGCGATGTCGTAGACAAGTATTGATCTGCGCTTTTTTATCAGGCAGTGCTCTGCTTTCACTAAGGCAAGTGACTTTGTTCGAAAAGTGCCTCTGTTCACCCAGCAGTGAGTGGGTACCCGGTAGGATCAGATGGTAATGTGGCTGTCAACTTTTTAGCGCCTCACAGGCAGCTTGGGCTGTATACTCCCCAGGGAGCTGAGAATGAAAATCGAGTGCTCACTGATCCATTAGGTAATAATAGTGTAGCGCTAAGAGCATCCACTTGGTGAATGGAATCTGGCGCATTATAAATGCACTTCTTCTTCTTCTTTTTCTTCTTCTTCTTCTTCTTCTTCTTATTTTTATTTTTATTATTAAGAAATCAGTCTTTTCCTGATTGCATCAAAGATAATAGTTAATCTTTGAGACAGGAAGTCGGCAGTACAGTTGCTAGACCCATCCATATAATCTCTTTGTACGGATCGTATTACGTCTTGGTAACCAGAACTACAGAGGAATGCACACGTCTTCAGGGTCCACTTGCACAAAGCAATCTTAGCGCTACGACTATTGTAAGCCTATGTTAAAGTATGGGAGTTACGATCATCTTAGCGCTAAGATCGCTTTGTGCAAGTGGGCCCAGGTCTTAGAGTCCGGTCAAACGTTCATAGTGCTGATGGCTTGGGCAGGTGTGTTCCTCAGGTTCTATACTGACCTGATAGTTTCATTACTTTATACGTCATTGATACCAAGTTCTTTGATCACACAATTACTGCAGTGATGCTTACATATAATAGTTATGTTATTTGAGGCCTTGTCAGTGAGAACAACTACATTTCGTTCATGCGGAGCAGCTGGATGTGCTAAATACATTTTCAAGGGATTATTTGCATGATTTGTAAGATAACACCAGCAGTATAGCGAAATATGTAACCTTCTGGAAAAGCCATTAGTTGAAAGTCGGTATGTAAATAACTCTGTAATATGAACACGGTGTGATGAGGGAATTAAATTTCATGCAAGCAAAATGTGACTTTTTTCCTTTTTGAAAAAAAATAACAGAAGCGTTGACTCAAAAAAATGGATTAGGAATATGTCAGGCAAATTATCAAATGAAGAAGAGCATCAATACGATTCAGCAGCAAATAATATCAATCAATCTTTATTGCAGTGAGTGAGTGAGTTAAGATTTAACGTCACATCGGCAGTATTTCAGCCATATCGTGACGAGAAGTACATTCATAATACATAGATTTAGACTCAATAAAAAGTTGTCAACGAAGGACAGTACAATAACTAGGATATCACAGATTCAATTTAAAACTAGTTGAGAATATATAAAAGCCATAAGTAACAGCGAACAACACAATATAAAAATGGGCTAGGGATCGTCAGTAACTAAAGGGAGATCACCATACTAGGGACCATGGGGGCTTATAGTACCTTTGCTTCCTGCATGGACCCCGGCAGGATTTATATCACCCCTTCAGTCACAAGCGATAGACTACCAGTTAAGCCTAAGAGTTAAAATGACAAAAATGCTACGTTTTAAAAGTCTGGTCTGCATAAAAATACTTCGAATGACGTGGAACTTACATACCCTCTTAGGGGGACAATAATTTTACGCTACTTCAACCCCCCTCGAGGGTACAGCCACTAACAATCTAAGTTATATATTAGCACTACCAATATATAAAAACATATTATGTACATCAAAATTTATGCATTAAATCAATTTCCTTTAAAAAGTGCAATACTAAATGAGAATTAACTTGACTAAAAAGGTCCTTGACTGTTTTGACACTATAATATTTATCCCTTGCGATGGAAAAATCAATGCAGTCAAGCAGGACATGCTTGACCGTGATTCTTTCATCACAAGGGACACAAAACGGAGGATCCTCACCTTTTAATATATACTCATGTGTATATCTGCTGTGGCCAATACGACATCGTCGCATTATGACCTCTTCAAATCTGGACTGACAGCCCAAGTAGGTGTAACCGATAGTTGGTTTAATTTCATGTAATTTATTGATACCTACTTGAGTGTCCCACTTCTTTTGCATTAGATCACGGATGTAAGATCTAATCACGGGTTTATAATCAGTGTATGGAATAAGAAGTGGTGTCACAGATTTGCCGAGTGCCGCCTTTGCAGCAGCATCAGCCATTGTGTTACCAGTGATACCAACATGGCTTGGTAACCAACAAAAGACGATGTCGTATTGGCCAGTAGCAAGATCATTAAATAATTCGAGAATTTGAATTAAAAGTGGATGTTTGCATGACATATTTTTAATTGCCTGAAGGCATGAAAGTGAATCTGAAAAAATAATGAACTGTTTACGTTTAGATTGGGTTTTGATATATTTCAGTGCGGTAAAAATGGCGTTTGCTTCTGCTGTAAAGATGGAACTGTTATCTAGTAATCTAGAAGATATTGTTCTGGATCCAATGACAGTGGCACTAGCAACTGCACCGCCATCCTTGGATCCATCAGTAAATTTAGATTTAAAAGAGTCATAATTGTGTCGTAATTGAAGGTATTCTTGTTGGTAAATTAGTTGGTTTGTGTCTGATTTCTTTAATTTGGTTAATGTGAGGTCTACCTCTGGCCTTACCATTTGCCAAGGAGGTGATGAAAACAGTTGAGTGGGAGGTATATCTTGCAGTTTAATATTGGAAGCAACCATGGCAGACTGGATTCTGATTCCGAGTGGTGGAACAAGAGATGATTTTGTATTGTAAATATCTTGGTAAAGCGGCTTAAAGACGCAATTAAAAGCTGGATTGGACTGATTAGAATATAACTTAGTGACGTATTGTAAAGATAATTTCAGACGGCGTTGTTTAAGAGAAGTTCAGCCGCTTCTACATACAGACTGTGAATTGGAGACGTCCTGAAGGCTCCAAGGCAAAGCCTCAGGCCCTGATGATGGATAGTATCCAGTTTTTTAAAATTACTTTTGCAGGCTCCACCATAGACGATGGAGCCGTAATCGAGTTTGGAACGGATCAGTGACCTGTATAAGTGTAAGAGGGTTGTTTGATCCCCTCCCCACTTAGAATTTGAAACTACTTTCAATAAATCGAGTGCCTTCAGACATTTAGTTTTAAGGTATTTTATATGCGGTAAGAAAGTTAGATGGCTGTCGAAAATAAGGCCCAAGAACTTGGCCTCCTTTACCACTTTGATATGGGTGCCGTTTAAAAAGAGTTCAGGGTCCTTATGCGGCTTATATTTTCTGCAAAAATGAATACAATTAGTTTTTGATTTAGAAAACCTAAAACCATTTTCAAGTGACCACTTTTGAATTTTATTTAGACAGATTTGTAACTGTCTCTCTATTGTATGCATATTTGTACCACGGCAAGAAATGTTAAAATCATCCACGAAAAGTGAACCATCAACTGTATCACTTAAAACCTTTGAAAGACTATTTATTTTTATACTAAATAAAGTGACAGACAAAATACTGCCTTGTGGGACGCCCTGATCCTGATGATAATGATCAGACAGGGTAGTACCCACGCGGTCTTTATTGTATGAAAGGCCATTGGCCCATATACACATACAGATAAACAATATCATTTACAGCCGTACAGCGCATTATATAATTATTGGATAACTAATATGATGCTTGACATGTAATAGAGGTATTGTAATAACAGTGGTAATAACCACAGTGGCAGCAGTAGTAGTATAAAATGCAAAAGGAATGAAATGGAAATATGAAGTTTTACGTCGCAAAGGCTTTCAGCCATAGCGCGACGTTCAATACAAAAGGATCTATCAGTAATATACTCATCATGTCAAGACAATTTGACAATTTAAATGTATATGCATTTCTAGTAGAAACAAACAGACAAAAATGAAATGTAGATACTCCTGATCTAGATGCGAAAGTTTCAAAACAAGTAATTATTTCTGGAC